GGCACCGATTGGTGGCCCTGATGGATAGAGCTTCATCAGAGCTAAACAACAAAAGAAAGCTGAAGCATCTATGTTGAACACTTTCTGAGTTATTAGCAATTTTGCATGTCCCGATACCCCCACTTTGAAAGGAGCCCCCTCCTCAAATATGGGGTCTATTGTAAAATCGTAGGCTGGCTCAGTGAAGGTCAGACTCATCTACAGCCCTGCCAAATTTCATGTTGATCGGTGCAGCCATTTTGTGATACGGTTGACCAAAAATCACTGAAAAAAAAACAGAACGAAAACAATATGACTCCCGTTTATGCTTCGTATGCAGGGGTCATAATAAACAGTACGAAAACAATATACCCCCGCAGCGGAGCGTAAGCGGGAGTCATATTGTTTTCGTACTGATGAAGCGATTCAGCGCAGCCTGCTGGTTTCTTCTTTAGATTGTTCTTTTTATGTACAGTGCCCTGAGACAACGCATTTTGTGACTTGGCACTTGTGGAACATGCAGAGTTGACACTCTGCCCAGAATTACCTGCATCGTCCAATGGGACCACAAAGGAGTGATGCCCGAGGGATGTTGTTGTTCGTGGGATGGTCACCAACTGACRTGGTGTCCCCCATGTTCATCCCTTGGCTGCCATGGAACCCTGGTCTGAGCGGCTGAAGCTCATGGAYGGCAGGTGCGGAGGCTCTTTTACCCCCTCAGGTACTTAACACCAGATGAGTCGGCTAACGCTGTTGCAACCTCCATGGGCCTCGGTCCCCTTATCTACCYTGAACTCACTTGTGATCCCTCTGCACCCCCTGTGGATCYTGTCACTGATRGGCAGGAGGAGGGGGACACGGAGGCACCCGAGGACATCCACTGTGACTTGTTGGACGAAACCATYAACAAATCTTGGCCCTTTCAAGTGGCCGGGATTCATGCGGAAAGGCCCTTGCTGGGACTATATGAGTACCCTTTGATTTTCAGGGTTTATAGAGAACCTTTAACAATGGCACTCAGACSTGATGACWGGCCAGATGATGTAAAGGCAACTGCACAAGAAGGCGGCTGGGAGGGACCCTGGGAGCTCACCACATGGGCCTCCCTAATAAAAGAGGTGATCCAGAATCAGTTCATCCCGCTGCTAGATCTCCCACCTATCCCTCGTGAGGAGAGGGTCAGAATGTCTGACCTGTACTACTACACCACCAATATTGAYGCTTGGTGTCCGAGGGGAGCTCGCCCCAAGCAAAAGGTTGCAACATACRCTGTCACCTCTGAARCGTGGAATCGGCAAGGAGTTCTACAGATCCCYGGGTCTGTGGCTCAGAGAACTCCAATTCCYATCCGCCCTGATTCCACTTACAGAGTGCAGGTCACAGTTCAAATGGTSATGGTCCCCCWTAAAGGGGTTTATTCCCTTGGAGCCACGATCACTGTCCTTGGACAACATGGTGAGGTGGTCAATACAGCTGAGGCTGCCACCCCACCACCTCGCTGCCACTCTGACTTGCTCTTTAGAACCCTAACCTGCATCCCCTCGCGGTGGCGCAGGGTGAAGACCGAGACAGAATAAATTAATTGTGCTCTGGTGTGACGTACGGTTTCCCCTTCATTCGACTTCTAATGCATTTTTCTCTTTCCTTGGAATTGGCTATGGGATGATTGACCTCAATAATCCCAGGAGAGGGGGTGGGGCCCTGAAGATAAAAAAGGACTGGTTGTAACCACACCCCACCAGAGAAGCAAACCCGCCCCCCCATAAAGATAAAAGGCCTGTCTGTGAGCTGCACAGCAG